AGGCGAACAATTTTATGAGTCTGCCCTGCATAAGCTTTATGCAGGGTAAAATGGATTTATCTGGGTTTAGACCCCATTGGGAGTTGGGCAATGCACACTTCTGTGAGCTATTTTCAGGTAAACTTGCAGCTCTGGGACAAGTGATTCAGACCCTGGGTCTGTGTTGGAGCAGACGGGAGTGTCTGGCTCAGCAAGACTGGGTGCTGGAGTCCTGAGCTGGCAGGGAAAACAGAAGCAGGGGTAGTCTTTGCACATCGGGTGGCAGCTCCCAAGGGGGTTTCTGTGATTGAACCTGTCACAATAATATCTGACCAGTCTGCAACAGGTAATGAGCAAATATTTACTATTCTGAAACTCCACTGGTTATTTAGGAAATATAAGAGGTCTTTCCTCTCCCCTGCCCCCTTCCAACAGACACAGGGGTTATGCTGTGGATAGGGCTCTAAAGTATTCATTAGAAGTAATAACAGGTGTATGTCATCGAATCCCAAGTTAAAGGGAGAGAAGTTGTGACATTTCAGTGATCACCCAGAGCAGTAAGGGGTTCTGTTACCACTTGACTTGTAACTTTGAATGCCTGTCGCTGTGCTGCTATGGGCTCAGCCTTGACACCAGTAGCTAGCCTACATGCATAAAGGTCTCAGCCTGGCTTCCACCAACCTAGTTACTCCTTGCAGGATGACCTCAACAGCCCTTCCCATCCTGTCTCCTCAAATCCATCTACACCAAGTTCTTAACTACGATACTCAGCCTTTTCCCCTCTGGTTCGTCACCCCAGAAGGAGTGAAACCTGCAACCAGTAATCAATGTGTTGAAGGTAAATTTATTAATCAGGAAACCTAAATTATAATCTGTTTACCCCCGTAGGTTATTTGTACTCATATTTGAATGACTAACGGTCTCCAGTGACTTGATTTAAACCTGTTTGAAATGAATTGATGAGACCCAAGCCTTTGGTCTACACAATAAAGTTATGTCTTCCTAAGTGCATTTGTTTCAGTTTAGTTTCGCATGCTTTCACACCTAGATCTGTCTATCACTGATGTAGGCACACCATTATATTGACACAATAACACTGCCTTCCTGTACAATACAGTTCCATAAATTGACGAATTACCATTAACAAGGTGGTAGTGCAGACACTGTATTACCTCAATTGAGTCTAACAGTCCTCCAGCAGCTGTCCCACAATGACTCTGACCCCATCACAAGATAGTGTCCACTCCCTGTTTTTGAAATGCCTTTTCCTGGTTGCCCACCTTGGCAAGCACACATACAAGCCCATCTTTATGAGAATCCAATCATGCCAGCTCAGTGCAGACAGAGAGCTACTAAGCATGCTCCTGCCGGAGCAGGGTAGAAGTCATGGCTCTCCTCTGATTATGGGGAGAAGAGGCTGTGCAAGCAAAGCTAAGGAGCAGACAAAGGACTATAGATCTCTATGTGTAGAATAGTATCAGGGGGTAGTCGTGTTAGTCTGTATCCACAAAAACAACAAGAAGTCCGGTGGCACCTTAAAGACTAACAGACTTCTTTGGGCATAAGCTTTTGTGGGTAAAAAAGAAGTGAGGTTTTTTACCCACAAAAGCTTATGCCCAAATAAATCTGTTAGTCTTTAAGGTGCCACCGGACTCCTTGTTGTTTTTATGTGTAGATTGTGTATGGGATGCTAAACCTGGGGCAGAACGATGATGCTGGGTGAAAGCCAAGGGACTCTGGTAGGTGTATCAGCAGGCAAGGGAT